TTGTGCTCACATGGAGTTGAGTTATACCACAGTGGCTATGTGGCTCACAGAATCTAAAATACTATCTGGCCATTTTCTTAATGATTAATCTTAGCTCCCTGAATATACAGAACGTAAGTATAATAACTGTTTTAATGTCACCCCTGACATATCTGCATGCCTTTGACTTTGTTTTCTTTTCATTATGCGTATTTTCCTGCTTTTGTATGACTGGTAAATTTTGATTTTTGTTTTTGAGTGTTGAATTTTATTTTATTCTTGAGCTTGTTCTGTTACCCAGTTACATAAGTTTGATCTTTTCAATTGTGCTTTATGTTTGTTATGTGAAAACAGAGCATCATTTAGTCTGGGCTAATTTTTAAATGAAGTAAAACCCTTCTGAGTACTTTTGGTGATAGTCTGTGATTTAGGAGGTTTTTTTCTTCTGGCCATTCAAAACAAGCACAATTCATAGCCCTAAATGAGTTTTAGGGACTGGTTCCTCTCATCCTTTTGGATGCTTTTTCCCTCAAAATGGGTAGTTTCTTCACATGCATGTGCTGATCAGTACCCATTTGAACACCAGAAGAGAAGCTCTGCAGTTCTTGGGGATTCCTTCCCCTCTGGGTCTCAGCCCTGTGAACTCAGCTCTCTTGGCTTCTACTCATAGCCCCTTCCTATAGCCCAGCCTGGAAACTCAGGCAAAAAGCCGGGGCAGTCATAGGGCTCATCTCGTTTTTTTCCTTTCTCTTGGGAATCACTACCTTTCCTTGCCTGATGTTCAGTATTGTGAAAATCACTGTTACGTATTCTGTCCACGTTTTTTAGTTGTTACAGGCTGGAGAATAATTCTAGCTCCCATTACTCCATCTTTTTTTTTTTTTTTAAATTTTAGAAATAAAAGGAGGAAAATACTAACAGATCGACAACGTTTTACAAAATAGCAAAGGATCAGTACAGACATTACAGAGTTACAAACAGAGTGGTAGGGAATTAACAATGCTTATTGTATTACATATTGATATATTCAATGTAGTTTCTCATGAAAACACATATAGACATACAAAGCTAATCAACCAATGAATGCCTCACTGACAGTTTCTTTCAGCAAGGAAATACAGGACAGTAGAACACCTGTGTTAACTATCCTGCATATACATATATACAAACTTTCTCCTTCTTTCCCTTCTCTTTTCCCATATTCCAGTTATCCTTTACCTATGAGTGTTTTCCTATCAATTCCCAATGTCTGTCATATCTCCTAGTTTAAATTAACTCTTTCAGGCTTTACACTAGAGAAACAATGCGGTGCTTGCACATGTATGTTTGATTTATTTCGCTTATGAGTATGGTCTCTAGTTGTGACCATTTGCCTATAAAAGCCTCGAGTTTATCTTTCTTTACAGCTGAGTAATATTCCATTATATAAAAGTACCACAATTTTCTTATCCAATCCTCAGTGGATGGACATTTGGGTTGCTTCCACATTTTAGCAATTACAAATTGTGCTGCTATGAACATAGGTGCACATACATCACTGTGATATGACGTTTTTAGATCTTCTGGGAAAATACCCAGCAGGGGGATAGCTGGGTTGAATGGGACCTCTAGACCTAGTTTTCTGAGGACTCTCCAAACTGATTTCCACAGTGGTTTCACCAGTCTGCATTCCCACCAGCAGTGGAGAAGGGTTCCTATTTCTCCACAGCCTCGCCAGCATTTGTTATTGGCTGATTTCTTAATGCTAGCCATTCTTACTGGGGTAAGGTGGAATCTCAGTGTTGTTTTAATTTGCATTTCTCGAATGACTAATGATGTTGAACATTTTCTCATATATTTATTTCCCATTTGTATCTCCTTGTCTGAGAAGTGTGTATTCATCTCCGCTGCCCATTTTTGGATTGGGTCTTTGAATTTGGAGGGGCTGAAATTTTTTAATTCTTTATATGTTCTAGATAGAAGGCTTTTGTCTGATGGACAATCAGCTAAAATTTTTTCCAAGTTTGTGGGTTTTCTTTTTACTTTGCTGGTGATTTCTTTAGATGTGCAGAAACTTTTCAGTAGGATGAGATCCCAGTTGTTGATTCTTTCAAGTGTTTCACGTGCAATTTGGTTTTTGTTCATGAACTCTCTGCCTACCCCTATGTCTTCAAGGTTTTTACCTACCTTCTCTTCCAATAGCTTTAGTGTTTCTGGTTTAATATTGAGGTCTGTGAATCATTACTCCATCTTAACCAGAAGTAGTAGCTCTAAGTGCTACTAAAATTTTCCAAGCAGGGAAAAACCACTTAAACAGTAAACGATACAAAATCACAGTAAAGTAGATGGGGTATATTGTATTACTATATGTATTTAGGGAAAGAAAGAAAAATTTCCTTATAAAGTTTATTATCATATTGCTTATAGATGTATCCATTAAAGTAATTTAGTCACTAAAATATATCATTAGAAGCCACCTCAACTTAACTAATGTTAGTAATATTTACCTTCTAAGTTTTAAATTTCAAAATGCCCATGTATCTAAATATAGCAAATCTACTGATCAGAATTTATTCAACAGATACACAAAAACAAATAATGGAAATATGTTTACATGGACCTATGAGGCAAGTTGTAATTTCCTAATCTGTTTCATCTGGAATATTTATGAGATAGTTTTTAAAATGTTTTAATTTTTAAAATAACTTTAGCTGGGGATATAGCTCAGCGGCACTGCGCCTGCCTGGCAAGAGCGAAGTCATGAGTTCAAGTCCCAGCACAAAAGAAAAAAGACGTAAAATAACCTTAAAGATTACACAGAAAACTGGCAAAAGTAGAACTAGGAATTCCTAGTCACCTAGGCCCTTTAAATTTTAATATTTTAACATCTTATTTGCATGTTATATTTAAAACATTAAAGAATACTGTGGGTGTGCCACTTTATCCAAAATACTTCTATGTTTATTTCCTTTTAAAAAGGACATTCTTTTAAAAATCACAATACTATTATCGCTGATAAAACAATAATATCTATTCTAAATATTTTACTCAAATCTTGCTGTCTGACCAATGCCATTACAGAAAACATGTCAGCTCCAGCTTCATAACAAAAGAAAAAAATTTTCCAGCTTCAAGATACTTAAATATAGTTGTTCCATCTCTTTGGTCTCCTTTGATCTAGAGCAATTCCTTAGTCTTTGTTTTACATCATCTTAAGATTTTTGAAGAATAAACACCATTTACAGTATTTTATAGATGTCCCTTAATTTGCATCTTACTCCAAACGTGACAATGTTTCCTCCTTGGGATGCACATGATATCTCTGTCACTGATGGAGATATTAATGTAAATCACTTGATTAAAGTAGTATCTGCCAGGCTGTGCATTGTCATGTTACTGTTTCCCTTTTTAATTGTCAGAAAATTTAAGTTTTCAACAAACTTTAACTCAGAAGTTTAAGCAGGCACTGATGATTTTGTTGGAAATAATTGCTACATTTCAACTATCCAATAATGATTTTCTTAATTCCATACTCAGTCTACATTTGTTAGGTGGCATTCTTCTATAAGGAAAAGTTATTATATTCCTCCATTTATGATTCATTTGTATAAATAATTTTATAATATTTATATGTACAGGGAGAGATAATTATCTCTGTGCTGAGATAATTATCTCATTATAGGTTCAATATCTGTTTTCCCAAATGTTTAGCACCAGAAGTATTCTAGAGCTCAGTTTTTTCAGATTTTTGGTATATTTGGACAGAATTTAAGGTTTGAATATCCCAAATCTAAAAATCCAAAATGCTTTAAGTACTGTGTTTTAAGTACTATGTCAGTACTCAAAATGTTTCAGATTTTAGAGTACTGTAGATACTCAGATTTCTAGAGTAGGCATGCTCAACCTGCCTGTATTGACTTCTAAACTGTTGCTTGATTTTATGGGTTTTAACCTATTGCATTATTACTTATTTGATGATCTAGTGTTTCAGATTCATCTGATGATCAAGATGTAGGAGTATCTTCAAACTGTTTCCTATGTTCTTCTGACAAGTCTCCCTCATTCTTTTACCAGACCAATTATTTAAACACAGAATGCTCAAAACTTGCAAATTTTTTCATTAGTTTTTATAAGATAACAGAAGTATAAAAATAACTTTATCAAATTTACTCAATACAAAAATCAACTGGTAGAAATGACACCTGCCTAAGTGACGCTCAGGACAGTCTGTACAGAAACGGTGCCTGAGTGACGTTGGGGGTAAAGTATTAAGTGGTTAAGTGAAACATCTCTTTTAATAGTAGCAATGATCTGGAAATAATCTACAGGGCCATCAAGGAATGGTAAGAAGATGGAAAACCATGAGCCTTTGAAGAGAACTATCAAGGTAGAAGATATACTGTAGGGCTAAAAGGTACAGAATCATAACAGCATACAATAGCAGTTAACTTAGAAAAAGAAAAAAAGACATACATACATCTTTTTACATACAATTTTCTTCAAAAATTACAAAAAACTAATAATAAAAGGTTTCAGCAGTAACTCTATGACTTTGATTATGCAACTGAGTTTACCTTACAATCTATACTGAGAAAGCTTTTTATCATTTTTGAGATTAATACTTTAATGTCTATAACAAACGTGTATTACAAAACTAATTTTGTATCATTAGAGCAATTTGTTTATATTTTCATTAAAATATATACAATTTTATGTTTTCTTTAAAACAGGTTAAAAAAAAATCTTGTAATCAAAGAATTGTGACGGGTTAAACACAGCTAAATATAGGAATCTTTAATGTTGCCAACCTTGTTATCGTCGCTATATTATAAAAGTTACTGCTTGCAAAGGTTTCAGTCTTTCCCTTTGAAATATATCCTCATAATACTGTTGCTTTTGTTTTTTGGAGGAGAAAACAGGGGGAAGGAATGATGAGAATAAGCCTGTAAGGCAGGTACCAATATGGGAAGGGTTTCTAAGAGTACCTTAATAAATGACAAGATACACAAACTGGCTGAGTGAAAGCCTAATGTAATACTTACCTAGTGAGTCGTTTAGGTGGAGGCCGCTCACCAAATTTCCTGGGAGGGGGAGAAAAAAAATATTTTAAAAAACTGTCGTATAACCACCATAGTTAGCTTTGTGTGTCATATAACCATCATAGTTAGCTTTTTAGACCTCATAAAATTTCCTTTATGACTTAATTTCAACCTTACTGAGGAACATAGAAAAGAGAAATCCTCTAGGGGTCATCTCTAACTACAAATAACAAAATACACATTTTAAAGAGTTAAAAAAAAAAAAAAAAACCACACCCTAAGTAGGCCTTGCACACTTGCTGTGAGAAAGCAGAAAACTGATGAGATGAAGATGACAGGCACCTCAAAAAAAAAAAAAAAACAAAGACCACAGTCCTTCAGTATCAACAGTGGAGAAAAACGCTCTGAGCCCAAGAGGTGGTGCTGAGGTCACAAGTCTTCATCCTATGTCAGAAACTAACCATGCACTTTCTATACAGTACCCTATTTAATCACTGTAAAACAACTGTATAAGGTACCTACTGGCCTCATCTTAAAGATATAAAAATCAACCTGTTCAATGTCATAAAATAAGTGGCAAGCCAGGTTAAGAATGAAACCCAGACTGAGAACTAGTCTACAATCTGTGACCCTATGAGCTAGCACAAAGGCAGAAATTCACACAGAGCTGACAAGGAGAAAAGCATAACCAAACTCAAGGACACATAATTCAGGTTCACATTATGGCAAAACATGGAGGGAAAGACTCTAGAGTAACATCAGTTCAGTTCAAATTCGTGATGTGGTGTTCTGCTGGGTAACTCTGAGGTTAGTCACGTGACTCTCCTGATCTGGTCGATGAGGAAATTAAGTATGGCAATTAATGATTTAATTTATATACTGAAAATATATGGAATACTGCCTAGGCTCTAGTGAGTGCTCAATAAATGTTAGTAATTACCATTTTAAAGTTATAAAGAGTTAAGCCAAAAGAAGTAAAAGAACTACAATGTTAATAGAGACAAGTATATAAAGCATATGTAGTTATTTTTTTATGACCCCTTATTTCCTCTGTAGTAGGAAAATGTGGTTTTCTGAAAGATGGTGAAGGCACAGCGTTTGAAGAAAAATAGTAATGAATGTTGTTTTTTGTTTTGAAACAAGACTTCAGTTCTAACAGGTACATGAATTGTTCTCAGCAGTTTCTATACTGTATTTGCGATATTCCACAAGACTATTTGCTTTGATGAAGTCTTTAGGCTCCCGCTTGATTCTGTTTAATTAATTAAATGACATTATAAATTCATAATTTATAATGGCATCTAAACCTGAATATATTATTTTTTTCATTAAATACTACTGAAATATTAGAAAGTAGCTTTAATTGAAATAGCAGAAAATGAGCAAATAATCCAAGTTTTTATAAGGAGAATAACTTTTGATTAGTTTTTATTTTACTCTATAGTACACTTACACAGTGTTTTAGTAATAACCGTTACAAGGTGGCTAAAGACTGTACATGTAACATACTTAACTACTGACTGGTCTATCAATTACAGCTATGGAGTTTAAAGCAAAAATCTATTCCTGAATCTTTTTCCACAGGAAAATTATTTTGAAATCTCTGAAACTGATTAAATGTACCACTATAACATATAATTACAATAGAACTGCTTTACTTGGATAGGTATAGAATATCACACATACACCAAGAAGTCTGTATATACAGAATTATATTTCACAGCGAGAAGTGAGGTATGCCTGGAATCTACGTAATGGACAAATGACAGACATTTCAATAATGCTGTCACCCTTCCAATCATCCTGTTAACTCTTAATATTTGAACCACCAAGTACCCACTGGGATCTAACATAAGTTAATTACATAACTTAGTAAGAGACTCATTGCACTCAACACTGAATATAAATTTTATTCCTAGATTTTTTGAAATTCTACCAAAATTAGATTAACAAGTAAATGTTGATTAAAATATCTTTTAAAAAATACTTATTAGATCAAGTCAGCAATTATATAGTATGCTCATGCAATATTACTTCTAACTTGATAGAAAAGGTAAGTACAAGAGCTAAGTACAAATGCCTGCTGAATCTGGATAGCATTTTGAACCAAACCATACATCATTCTATCTAGGTGCCATCCTAAGCCTAGGTACTGCAGAAATATTAAGATTGAATTGCTTCTTCAGTAATATAATAAAAATTGTGAGCAATTTTTACTGATCCTCTGTTTAATGCATACGCCATGACGAAGTTATCTACTACTTATCTCATTTATCTACTGGGCTACTATATTAATTGGAATAGGGATAGAATTCAAAAATTCAAAAAAGTCTAGTAGATTCACAGTATACAGTTAATGGTCATAATCCAACATTTAATAAATCTTCATATGAAAAAGTGTCAAGTTATAACAAGATACAACATGTACCTGTACTTATCAAGATGTATCTCTGCTACCAACCTGATGGAGGACTAACACAAAGCTTTAAAAATTATTTACTACAAAAGGCAGCCCATCTTTAATCATGGGTGATTCAATAAAATTCATGATGTAGTTTGGCAATCTATCTTAAAAACAAGATGCCTCTTAACATGATCTGAACTGACAAGTAAACCAGAAATAAGCTGAACCAACCAAATTTAAGCTATTCTTATGTAAAACATTTTTTTGTAATAGCTATATAGTATGTTTCACAACATAAAAACCAAAAAGCAAAACTAGGTCTTTAAGTGCCCTAAGGGCCCTTTTAATTTTATGAAGTAAAGAATTAAATCTTCATTGTAACAGAATCACTACTATCAAATTTCTCTTCTGATAGACTGTCAATATCTTATTTACATGAGTAGGTTTCTCCAATTTTCTACATACCATATACATGTACTTTACGTGTAATAAACTAAACAATCCTGGCAACCTTTAAAGAGAAAAGATTATGATTCCAGACTTTTTAAAGTAGCAAACAAAAATTAGCTGGTACACTGCTGATTTACACCATGCCCTTTCCTTCTAGCTCTATGTACTATATCCCTTCTCCCTCAGAGTAGGAGTGAGGTCGAATAAAACACCTGTTTGCCATCATTACCCATTATGCACATATAATACAACAGCTGAAGGAAACGTACATTCTTGACTTTCTATATGCCATATGGGTAATTTTAAACTAGCAAATTAATTTTACCTTAACTTCACTAACTTTTCCCTTATCAGATAACAAAGATCTTATATTCAAAGTAAGAATAACTACTGTAATGTTAATTACTCTAGCTGAATCTGATTTATATACCAAGGTGTGTGAAGACTTTTTAAAAGTTGCAATGTATCATGAAAGTACTTCCTACCTGCAAGTAGTAATGAGGTTTCCACATATCTTCCAATCCATTAGAGTTTTCAAAATGAGTAAAATATCTGCCTACTCATTACATTTATATACACACACTCCCTTCTCCTCAGAAATGGGACAACAGTGTTTCCTACCACCATATATGCTTCTTTATATATTTACCAATTTGTTAAGCAAGTATATGACCACAAATGCACTGGGGCCAAACATGATAAGAGTTATCAGGACTTCACCATCTTTACACCTTTTCTGGCTAAAAGACACTTCCCATGGCAAAACCAAGTCAAAAATGAAAAAGGGAAAGGGAGGTACTGTCTTTAAGTACACAATTTAGTAATTACACAATGACAAAACAAAGCAAAACCCACCTATACTGCCTTAGTAACAGCACTAGAACATTGCCTTTGAAACTGTCATGGGGGGGCTGGGGATTTAGCTCAGCGGCAAAGCGCCTGCCTGGCAAGCGCAAGGTCGTGAGTTCGGTTCCCAGTACCGGAGAAAAACCAAAAAAAAAAAAAAAAAAAAGAAACTGTCATGGGGTCGTGAAACTTTAAGGAACTCCCTATGTTTTTCTGTACCTCACAAATTTTCTGCTTAAAAATGAGATTAAGATGAATGCAAAAGTACTGGTGAGGTTTGCAGGAGAGAAGGGGAAAAGAAAGCATTAACAAGGTCAGAATATAGCTCAGCGACACAGTGCCTGCCTGGCAAGCACAAGGTCCTGAGTTTGATTCCCGGTACCAAAACAACAACAACAAAAAAGCATTAACAAAGCGAATTAATAATTTTTTTGACTTTACAATCAACTTTTTCTTTTCATTTTATGAAAAAAACAAATTTTCATAGCAGTTGTCACACTATGTATAATTATCTTCAAGGTACAAAACATAAATCTACTTAGTACAAAACATAAATTAAAAAGATCCTTACAAAAATAAACAGATAACAGAAACTTTTCAATGAACTAAGATAAACTATTAGTATAAATGAAACAAATCCGCATATATTGAAATATTTTTGGAACAGAATATGCAATTTAGGGAAGTATTTGAACTTATTTCCTAGTTATCGCTCTTCTATTTTACTCTTTATTTGTATTTATTTTTACTCATATATTTTTTCTCTCATAAGAGAAACCATGTTTGATCTTGTGTGACACCTCATTTAACATTATGTTCTCAAGTTGCACCCATTTACCTATAAATGCCTCTTTGTCTTTCCTTATGGCAAGATACTACTCCATTATGTATAAATATCACATTTTCCTTATCCATTCATCCATCTGTTGATGGACATATATGGCTGCTACCAAGAGTTAACGATTGTAAATTGTGCTGCTATAAACATGGCTATGCATGCATTCCTGAAATATGAAGATTTTAAATCTTTTGGAAAGACACCTAGGAGGGGGATAGCTGGATCAAATCGAATTTGTATTTTTAGTTTTTTAAGAAATCTCCACATTGATTTCTACAGTGGTTGTACTACTTTATATTCCCACCAACAATGCAGTAGGATTTCTTTTCCCCCACATCCTAACCAGCAATTTTTATTATTAGATTTTTACGATGATAACCATTCTTTCTGGAGTAACATGATATCTCAGGGTAGTTTTAGTGTGTTTTATTCTGATAGCCAGCAACAATGAGCATTTTTAATGTATTTATTCGCTATTTGTATTTCTGAGAAGTGTCTACTCAT